TATATTGTAATGTACTCATTCTAATATATTTAAAAAATCATTTACATTGCTGGAAGGTTATCATTGCACAAATTAACACCCTCTCTACAATTAAAAAAAAAAATTGGAAGAGTTCTAAACTAAGGCACTGTCTTCACTGTATCTAACGCACACACGCTCAAGGCTGATTTATACTCGATGCGTCCACAAGTTCGCTTAGGTGCGCGCGGCAAATATGACGTCATCGCGGTGTTGGCGGAAGTTCGCTTTGAGTGCACGCGGTGTGGCTTCACGTGGCGGTGTGCACGACATTTTTTGTAACTTTCCGCGCAGCTCCGCTTCCGAAGATGCACGAGTTCAAATTGACTCTAGCCGAACATGCACGTCTGTGCCAGCATTTGTGTGAAACAGAAGCAGTTTGATGTTAAGTTCAGTCACACACACAGATCAAGTTGCAGTTGCGCTCAGACATTCAGGAACAAACTTTTTAGCGCTGGCCCGCAGTTTTATCAACTAAATAGCTTAATCGCTCAAGAGCTACATTATCTTTCTCAACAAGGAGCTGGTAACATCATTGTTTCTAAGGGAATTAAAGCCACAGCTTTACTGTTAATAGAGAAACGCGGCAAAACGGTGCACAGGGTTGCCAGGTTGACAAAGATAATTAACACACTTAGCAGATATTTCCATATTGCGCACGTGTAAAGCTCTGTTTTGGGGATTACGTCTCTTTATATCAGGCAACCCAGTTGTGTTCCTCTGCGGCCAGATTAAACCTTGTTGTAGCCTATATATGCTCTATTCATTCTTTTTTAGAAACCTCGCAATTTTCTACTCAATTTTAAACGTTGTAAAATTTTTAACAAATTTAGCACGGTCCACGCACACGTGCCACAATATCGATACAGGGCCAGCTGTATCGATACTCGTATCGCCAAATCTCTGTGACGATACATCGTCGTATCGATATTTTCAACACAGCACTAATGACGACTGCTATGTTCATTATTACATCCAACAACAGAACACCTCAGTCACTTAGGAGTCATTCTTGTCTACATCTGCTCCAGCGGTGAAACAATGGCGGACTGATGACAGCTCACTCAGGGTGGGTCTAAGG